CTTGAATTGTTCCAAATGGCAAGTGTGGATGCCAAGAAGATACCTACAGCGCATAAATTAAAATTTAGTACGTTGTATACGGTGAATAATCACCTTTTAAAAAATAAATACAGACCCAATCTTCAGTTGGAATAAAACCAGATTTTCCAACAGCAAAGGGCGTTACGGTAACGTTGTTGCTATTAACATTATCGTTTTGAGCATTGTCCACATTATTATGTTGCCTACTTGTTGCTGTGACACCCTCCGGCAATTTACCCCGTGCCTTTTCCGACAAGTGCATTGACTCGCCACGATCATCCGCAGATGTTACACTTAACAATTCTGCTTTTTCATTTAATTCTGCCTCATGTTCATCATCTTTTTTATTACTGATCATACTCTCTGTATCTGATATCTGTGGTTGCGAAGCTGGCTCATCATGCATACTTTTTCTATCTAATGATGTTTCAGATTTATTCATAGATGTATTGTGCGCCTGTTTTTTACGTTGTTCTTTAATAGATTGTAATCTTTTAATTTCAACTAAACCTTTTGAAAGTGTAAAGTCGAACATTTCTTCAAACTTCTTCGGGTTACAAACAATTGCGTATACAACGTGTGGGTTGTCTGTGAATATAAACGAGAAAAAAAAAAAATTAATATTACAAACGAAGAAAAAAAAAATACAAATATATAGAATAAACCAACCAGAAAATTGATATTGAATAATATTATTTAAAGCTTCCAACATATATCCCACCAACCGATGATTTCCTTCATCAGCCAACAAAAACCCCGGTGATGAAAATGATGAAAAAAGTTGTACTAATTTTACTGATGAGGTAACAGACAAATTCTTCAAGTATGGGGATATATTTGTGATTGTCAATACAAATGCAGGATAAAGTGGATGTAATGTTCCACGTGTTGTTGCTATAAGAGCATATATTGACTTTATTTATGATGAAATTAATAAATTAATTTAAATTATTAATAAAAAGAATAAATACAAATAATTTCACTTACAATAATCATATAATCAGCATAAGTGCCGGCATTAAATGCAGAAATCCGAACAGTCGAAGGAAGTGATCCGTGACCTTCAAATTGCTTGTTCAATTTCATGCCAAAGTTACGATCTGCCGATAGGGTTTGCAGAATAAAGGCACACATGCGCACAAATCCAATTTGTGCTTAAACAAATGCAATATATAAAATGTTTAAGTTAAATAGACATAAGTAAATTAGAGTATATATCATTGATCATGCCAACCTTGATCATGCTTATTTTCCATAGAATAATACAGCAAAACAATTAAAACATCCAAAACTCTATCAGTCTCCAGTAGGTAATTCCGAAACCTCTATAAGGACAAGTGAATTAAACCTTTGCATATTAATTAATCAGATGCCACTATTTACATTTTATAAACCCACTTTATTAATCTCCAAAAATTTCCATAAAAGCATTAACATTTCCTGGTGGCATCGGATTTGCTTAGTGGATCCCGGTAAATATGTGTTATTCGCCTTATATTATTATAATCATCGAAATTATTAGTTTGACGAGTTTTTAGAATTAGCTAATAATGTTGATTGCGAAGTACCTGCATCGGGTTACTCAGAATACGATATATTCCATCCATAAGAAACTGGAAATCTTGAGACCGATGTAATTTTGAGGCATAATATCTAAACGCATTGTCCACATTTGGGGGCAAATGTGATTTTTGGGAAGTAGTATTCATATTTGTAGCCCCATTATTCACCTCTTGAGTTGCGTCAGTTTCTCTTAATGAATCATTTTTCGGCGAAGTAGGTTCTTCATTGTTTTCGATTGCACTATCAGGTGCCAATCTATTATGTTCTCCTGGGTCATTAGTGCCAGTCGAGGCAGTATCTACTCTATTTGAAGGGGAACGATAGTCTAATAAGACTAACAAAACCTGTAAACAGAGAGTCACAAGCATCTCCCGTGGATCCGCAAAAACCATATGGTTGTAAGGTACTCCCCAGCCAGCAGGATTATATTTCACAGTAGTATTAAGCAAACTACAAAGTAATGCAAGAACGACCTTTCGATCCAACTTAAGAACCAAAAATTTGATCCACTTATTTTCTTTTGAAATAAAGGTTGCTAACAACCGAAAATATATGAAAAAAATCAATAATATTTTTATGATTTATATATAACTCTTAATATATATACCTCCTGGCATGTACATTGACTTTGAAACAAGTGCGAGAAGGAGCCTTAATGCTTCTGTTTTATTAGAATCATTTTCTTTTGACGATCCGATTGGTACAGTAGATCCAACACCAGTTTCCCTTTATAAGACATATGACGAAAATTTAACTTTTCTTGTAAATGCAGCATTTAATATCAATTATCTGGACTCGCCTACCAATTAACATAAACGACGCGAGAAGATTCACTCGCAAGATTTATTGGTAATGTAAAACCTGTCAAAAATAATAGGTCGATTAGCGCGGACAAAAGGCGTTCTCCAAGGGGTGGTATTGTTTCATAAGATTCAGAGCTAGTCCGATTTTGGGTAGAGGATTCCTATATATCGCATTGTGAATAACAATGTTAGCAAAAATATATACATATAAACTATGATATACTGGTCTACCTGAACTGCATTTATTTCCGAATTTTTGGTAACGCTTCCATCATCCAGTTCTTTTGAAGTATTTTGAAGATCACCGGTGGTTTCTGGTCTAAAGTTTTTGACTTTTTTTGTTGGTGTCCAGAAGAATTCATTCTCCCATTCATCTGATTCTTCTGATTCAAAAATAAATGGCATAATACGTGTAAGGAGTCTAATACAATTGAGAAGTTGTAATGTAGAATTTTGAGGAGATGGAAAATCAGGTGCTCTCATAATATGAAACATCTGATCGGTAATCTGCAAAACAGCAGTTCAAGTCATTTAGTCTTAAATATAAGAAGACAAATGAATTATTTTATTATAGACCTTATGTATTAATGTCTCAAGATTCTCCCTTGCTTGATCTCTTACGCGTCGAACGTCTTGCGCACCCACAAGTGAAAATACATCATCAGCAGACTCTGGAAGATCCCAAAACTAAAATACAATATAAAACAATGAGTTGGTATTTTTAATTAATATTTAAGTCGATAGTCTACCTGTGTCCAATATTCATCAAAAACATCAATATTCTAAATATGTTTAGAAACAGAAAAGCATTCTGTTAGATTATGTTCTAACAATATTAATATAAGCAGTAAAACGCTTACCCGCTCTTCAAATAACCTAAATACGCCCTTACGAAATGCTAATTTACTGTCTGTCGCTCCCATTTCGTCAAGTCTCAAACCTAGGAAATCCTAGGCTACTAACGTAATACTAAACTTTCGAGTCGGTGTATATTACTCGACAAATAAAACGGAGAAAACACAAGATTTAAAACTTTAAAGAACTTAGCGAAAGGGCTTATATACTTAGACATCGGCATCCAATCTGAATAAACCAGGCTTGTGAATTGTTACACATCCCGTACCAGATTTATGGGGCTCAATTTCTAAACAATGGCACCTAACGCTAAGCAACTTTTTTTGAGGATTTAAGCAAAATTTATATATCGATATTATTTAGCATTCTTTGAAGCTATTTAGTTGCTTTTTTTTGAACTTTCTTTTAAATAATTTTCTTTAATAATTTTTTGGAGTTCTTTAGATAGTTATTTGGCTGTTATTGTATTTACAGTACGTACTAAAAATATTATTAATAATAAATATTGTATATATATAGTATATATACGTATACTGTATATATATACAGTCACACCCCTCTAAGTGCATCCCGTCGGGACCATAGTGAAAAAAATTAAAATTTTGCACTTAGAGAGTGTT